GACTTGTTTGGTTCTCTCCTTGTGTTAACAATAGTTTAATCAAAACAACTGTTAGGAAAAAAAATGCACATTTTTGCTCTTGCAGTTTACCTCCAATTCCTCCAAATCCTTTCACAAATTGGGATCCTTCCTGTGATTTGTCTGTAACAATTTCCAATGTTGCTCCAAATTTCTTGTAGTTGTTTGCAAACCACTCCAGAAGGGGCATACTTTCTATCAGTTCATGTTCTTGGCCAGTCTATGCAGACATTTGAAAAACAACAACGTTATGGTCATTGCCTGTTAGTTACTGAAAAAAGTCCCACACCAGAAGCTGTCTTTGGCTTAATGGACACCAGAAGTGTCTTTGCTGCCACAAGGCAGAGACACCTGCCCTCCTGCTCTGCAGGCTGGAGCAGCCTGACACGCTTGCCAGGATCCAGGTGGGAAGCACTCCCGATACATTAGTATCGGACCAGTGCTGGCACAAGCACAGGACTCCTGGTGGATCTTGCTTGGGGCTTCCATGCTAAGGAGTTTAGCGTAGGAAGGAAAATAGTGATCTAGAGCCCCCAACACTGAAATACCTCTTTATCTGTGAAGTGGGACTTATCTTTCTCTTGCTCTGGTGTCAAATACAAGATCTTCTCCTCTGAGGAGAGAGGAAAAAAAGAAAAGAACAGTATTAGGTTGGATTAGTCTGCCAGAAGTGAGTTAAAAACAGCAGGAGACCGAGGACAGCCAGGAATTCCAGCTCAGAGGGTTTGGTCGTGGACACTTCCTTTGAGCTGAAGCTCAATGGGAATATGGAAAAACTGAACCGGGCACACAGGAGAATAACAACTGTCGTGCAAAACCACCCCCTCGGTCCAAACCCAAAGCCCCAACCAAGTGTGGAACAAGGCCACGCAGGGCCCAGAAGAGCTCTGCTCGTGGCTAGCAGAGGCCAGCGAGTCTCCCCCGGGTACCCACGTGCCACCATCCACGGACATGCAGCTGACAGGCAGGTTCCGTGCTGCCTCTGCCACCCACCCACAGCCCTGCAACTCCCTTCTCCAGAAAGGAACTCTACTAGTTGCCTTCTCTCCCAGAGCACGGGAGAGCTGCAAGCTAGAGACCTGCCCACACAACATCTCCTTGCTGAAGTCCCTACAGCTCTGCTTAGGAGCTTCCCCCAGAGTAATCTGCCCAACTGAGGTGGCTTAGGCGTTAATCCCCTCACAGACCTCTCAGTCTCCCAGAAGCGCCACGTACCCTCTGTGCCTTGGCAGTGCAGGACGTATCTCATGATATCCAGGTTTTCATAGACTATCAGTATCTCTACTGCTCCCATTTCCAAAGCTTTTAGTGTATCTTCAACACCAAAGCAGTACTTCCCCGTGTCCTGACTGATTTCATCAAAGTATCGGCCTGCGATCAGGATACAAAGAAAGAGATTGTCACAAACACAGATTTACCACCATTTACCTTTATTCCTCTCATCAGGGCAAGGTACCTATTTTGTTACTATCGCCCTCGCTGGGTTTTCATACGAGCAACAACATGTGGCTGCTAAAAATGGAGAAAACTCTCCTTAATGTGCCCCTAACTCCTGCAGCATTTGGGAAGGAGTTGAGGACCTCAGGGAGCATCACTAGAAGTTCCATTCTGTCCAACTTGGAAATCACTGCAGGGCTGAGCTACCACACAGAGGCACGACCAGAAAGTCTAAAGAAAGATTAATGAGTTTGATCCAGAGTGCTTGGTTCAGAAGAAAGCTAACTACAGTCACATACCTATTAGTTTCTTCTCTTGAATGAATTTCACATTGGAGAGGACTTCAGTTGACAATTCAATTGCTTGATTAAATCCATTTTCTCCTCCGTATGAAATGTCAACTAGTTTGAGCACTTTGGATTGCAACCGCTGAACATGGAGAGACACAAGATTAGCCACTCCACAACACGGTATGCCATAAAACTCCTGCATAACCCCCACAGAAACAAGTACCTGGCAAGAGTCACAGCATTAATGTATTTGACTTCACTTGCAAAACTCAGGTTTGGGGTCAGAGGGACCTCTGAACACTTAATACTGAAGCACAACATTCGGGCAAAAGGGCCAGACAGATTAGATTTAGTGGAGTTTAATTCTGCTAAAGCCTCTGCTTTAGATTTTTGGAACACAAAGAACGCGAATGCCAGTTCTACGCCAGGGAGGACAGATTTCTTAGTAATACTGTTACTAACAAAATGAGATCTTACCTCCTTGCTGGAAGCTATTAGGAAAGGGAGGCCACTTCCAAATACATCAGATTTTATATTTTGATCAAGTCACTTAAGACACTAAATACACACTCCTCTTCAAATGCATCTAATTTCAGAGCTACTGCTATTAACACCAAGCTACTATTGACAGCTTAACAATTTGCTCAGAACAGGACACTCACCTGATCGAACATGTCAGATTGACTTAATTCAGTTTTGAAGTCAGCTGATCCAGCTAAAACGAGACCAGCCACGTTCACCTTGTCTCCCGAAATGAAGAGCTGCACAGCCGTCTCCGCGACCTTCCTCACATAGTTGTGTCGTTTCTCCATTCTCAAACGAGCAAAACGCAAGGCAGATTGACCTCCTCTACCTTTAAGAGAGAGCAGAGGTGAGGCAGCAGCTTGGAAGGCTCTAGAAATTTCCCTTCTAGGACATTATTAGCACGTGGTCCCAACTGGGCCTCGGGGAGCTGAAGCCAAGGGCAGAGGAAATCTGCTGAATTTGTTTGCCACAAGCAGAGCCAGGGGCATCCAGTCGAAACAGCAAGTAAGCAGCGTGCTCATTCACAGCAAGGGATTTTTCCCCACACATCCCACAGAGGGAAATACATTTTTCAAAGACTCATTATAGCCCTCTCTATGGAAAATATGCACAGATGCTCAGAGCTTTTATATCCCGTTCCTTCATTAAACGCCATTTCCTTTATTACACTGCTTCCCACACCGATGCCGGGTATTCCAGCCCAGACCCTGCTGGGTTTTGCTTTCTGAAGAGACATTCCTATGTCATTTTGTCCCATCCCAATCTTCAGCTGAGAAGAATAGTTCTCCAAACTCAATATACAACCCAGCCCCATAACATGGAAGCTTGTTCCATCAAGCTTCTGTGCTTCTCACAAGGGACAGGGTCTTGTTCTTGATTGTGTTTTGCATGCAATGCCACGAGATACAAGATTTAAGGACACTACCAAGTGATATTACCACTTTGAGTAGTAACCTGCACCAAAGGCTAGTCCAAAACCAAATAAAAGCTCAAGAAGAAAGAAGTGCCACTTTAGGATCAACTGCACATGATATTGGTTCAATTAATCTTGTCAGAAGCCTCAAACCATGAGGCTTTGCAGGCAGACCTCAGGGGAGCAAGGAGTGAGTACAGCTAACACGTACAGCTGACACTGCCTGCTCTAACCCCATCCTGCACCCGCTGCTGCAAACTGCTTAGAGCACCCCGGTGTGTTACCGTGCTTCTTTGGAAGATCCACAGTGAATTTGTGCAGGACTTCTCTCGTGTTTCCTTGAAGAGTGCCGAAGAGTGCCCCGCTACCATCTATTACAATAAAGCCAAACTTGCTGTCGTCGGAAAGCAGCGCCGTGAGAGCCTGAGCGAGAAACAACAGGGCCAGCAGCAAGCGTTAGTTTAACAAGGTGCAGAAAGACCAAATTCACCTTTTATCACATTCACCTTGCTCTGAAAGACTATGAAGGACAAAAAACATCAAGATGATTTAATGTAGGAGATGATCTTTGCGATTTTGGCCGACGAACTAAAGGAAAAGGAGCAGAATAAGGAGTCAAGAGCCCCTCCAGCTCACATGGTGCTGCCAGCAGCTGAAAGGCAACTAACACTTAAGCTTGACAGCTATTTTCCCAGCACTACCAGCTCATCACTGGCAGGTGTAACAGCAAAATTCACTGGCTCTGGAAAACACAAAACTCATCACCTCTCCAGTTGGCAGAACCTTTTCCTAGCATCCCAGCCAGAGAAACTTGCTTAGCCCTCTGATCAGGCTATTTGCCAATTAAGTTTTGTCCTACAAAGCAGCAATATAGCCTGACTTTCCACTTGCCAACCATCACAAATGCTGTTTTGCTCTGTTTGCTGCCTTCGGAAGGTCCCAAATGCAGAAGGGTGAAACCCCCAAAGGCAAGGACAAATTCGGCCCTACCAAACAGAATTAAAACTGCCTGTGAGAAATCAGTTACAGAGAAGACAACTATAACCTTTGCTGCAAAAAGCAGTTATCCTTCCCTCCCTTCTCTTTAAACTCATTCCACAACGTGGTTCCAGCTGGCTAAAAAGGAAATGACTGCTCAGTATCAAGGGCCTGAAATATCTTTTTGTCCAATTGCTGCTTCTGTGTGGAGTTTGGGGAAGAGAAAGGTGATTATAGTTTCCTGCCAGAGCCTGTGCTGGTGCTATGGACCACTGCCTGGTACCCCAAATTCTGCATCTGCCCTTTAGAGGGAGCTCTGGCTGCTCTGAGTGCCAGGCCAAACTGGGAGGCCGATTCAGCAGCCTCATGCTGCTCTTGGGCTACACACGTGCCCCATTAAACCTACCAGCAAGAGTCATCTTTCTGATATTATAATCAGGGTAGCAAAAAAACAATTAGCAGGGTGGAGGATTTGCCAACTCAGTACTAGGAAAGTGGTGGTGCTGGTTTATACCACAGGACCTTTAACTGCCTCTGCAATTGCTGGACTGAATGGAAGGAGCAACACACTCATCTTCATCCAAAATCCACACACCAAGGCTCTGGCTTTCCAGCTCAAAAGCAGACACTGAGGTTTACCAGAACCCACTGGCCAAAATAAATATTTTGCATTAATTCTTCAGCAGTGGGATGAATGAGAGGAGGCAGTGGCAGATTGCACTTCAATCCAGTTGACTGGGACAGGGCCAAGGAAATTGTGTGACTGGGATGAATGCTCCAGCAAAGGTAGCAAAATAAGTCATTGTGAATCCTGCCCTTCAGACACACATCAGGGATCATCTCCCTCTTGGGGGGTTACTTCAGTTTCGCCCATGCAATAAAATATCTAAGGAAACTCTTATCAGATGTCACTGCTGGGCAACAAATGCCTACAGCTCTCATGTTCTTGGTCCACTCTTAGTTTAATTAAGTATCCAGTGATCAGTGAATCCCAATTTCTCCTTCGTTAGGTCTATATCAGCAATTCCACTTTCCACTTGTCAAGCATACAAGGGCTTTTAGCTTTTATATTTTGGTCTACCAGCTTGGGTTGAATTTCTTCTTCCCAGCTTCAGCCTAACATAGAGGTTCACATTCTTTTTCTCCCCAGTTCAGTGTGAAACTAGAGGTCCCACCTGGAGTCCCAGCTGCACACTGGGAACCAAAACAAGCAAATGCGACAGCAGCAGACGAACGAGACCTCCAGTATCAAGGAAACTAAGAACCCATCCAAAGAGAGGAGAGCCCCCAACACATGGGCAAAGGTGCTACTCCTAAGTCACGTTATCAGCAACACCCATTGCCACAAATTCCTCTCGACGTATCACAGCTCTTGCTGAGCAGAGCTACGCATCAGCACGAGCCTTTGCAGCTGCCTCCTGGGAAGAGCCCACAGCAGCTTTTTTTAAAAAAAAAATACAGAATCAGTGCTCTAAAGCAGGAACTGCTGCCAAGACCAGATTAATCCCTTTTCCTGCTACGATAGGAGGCAACCCACTGCCCTACTGCCATCCACCCACTGTCAGCAACTGCAGGAAGATTCCACCCTTGGAGTTGCACCTCTCTCCTGAATTCCCTCTTCCTTGCACTTGCCCACACACATATGGGCTCAGCAGAGCTCTCAGGAGCTCTGTCTCTAGGAGGGAAGCGCCTGCTCCCAGTTTCAGGCACTCCTTGGAGGTCAGGGATGCCCTGGGATTTCATCCTTGGTGGGGAGGCAGAATAACAGGAAGACCCCCCCACACCTGTGGAATAAATATCCCTTTTTCTGCCTGTGCTTCTGCCCTCTGAAACCCAAGATTAGGTCTCCAAAAACGCAAACAAGCAGGTAGAACAACATCACTGAAAGCTGCATCAAGCCCACACTTCAAACCCAAGGCAATTAAATCTGTCCCGTATTTACTGTAGTGAGCATCATGGATGAGAAATGCAGTCAAACCTCTGCTACAAATACAGACCTCTGCACCTGCCAGCAGAGCCAGAACAGATCTAGATGCAACCAAGTGACTTCACGCAAACACAAAAGGACCACTGAAATCCACCTTAACTGAAATGGGTCTCAAAACTCTTCATTTAACCAAGACAAGCAGATCCTGCAATTAGATGCTGGATATAAACAACCTCATCTTACCCTAGATAAAGAACTGGCCTGTGCCTAATTTATCAGAGTTGCAGGTAGCACATCTGGATCAAGATCGGAACCATTTATATTTTCCAGGCATTTCTTTAAGGCATATATCTTAAGGAATAAGATCTACAGGCCTCTAAGATTAAGAAAAACCTGCCCCCAATTACAGAGACAAGTGCATGTCTGCGCATTGCACAAACTCAGCAATTACTGGCAGGGCCATGAAATCAGCTATAGTAGGAGCCGGACAACATCTTAACTTGCCAGGCCCTCAGCAAGTACCATGTATTTCTGAACACTGGCCAGTCACAAACCACGCAATGCTTCACCACAGAATCCCGTAATTAAAGCCTGCAGTTCTGGAGAACTTCAAGAATCTCAGGGAGTCAAGCAAACTAGTTTGATTTTGACTACTGCAAGATCTGTGAATGAAGAGACTTCTTACCTCTGTGTGGAATTTGTTGTCACACAAATACAATGATGTGTTGATTGGTTTGAAAGGTTCAAAGTCAATGTTGACTTTCTTCTCTTTTCCTTCCTCTGTCACAATTGTTCCACAGTAAACAACCAGACCGTTTGGAGGTACTGTAAAGGACACAGAGCAATTTTAGATCACTGGGAAATACTGCAAGCCAAAGCCATCAAAAGCTAAGTACCAGGATTTGAGTCTTAAGATGGGATTGAAATTGAAGTTCCTACATTCTTTACTATCTATCTGTCCCATCATTCCTTCTTGGGTGCCTGGGAAGGAAAAACTAGCCCTAACTCTGGGACAGTGCACCTGTACTGAACAGAGTAAAGCAGGAGACCAGAGGGAACCCAATGCAGTCCTGAGATAAAGTTAAAGCTGGGGGATTGCAAGCTTGGAGAATTTGCAAACCCACTGAACATCCCATGACACCTTCCCAGCTCTCACAGCTGTTTACAGACCATCTCAGCTAAGGTGACTTGCTGGAGGAAAAACAGGAGCAGTGAACCCTTTACCTCCACTCATCTTCAACGGCCTGGGTCTGTTCCCTCCCAAAATGACTGTAGTTGCTTATTACCACATCTGCACATAAAGTTCCTCTAAATGAATGTCAATCTGAACGGAAAACCAGTAGTTTAATGCAACTAATCATAATGGAAGAGGTCTCAAGGCTGACCAAGTTTAGAACAACCAGAATTGTTAACGACAAAGTCTTGAACTTGTTTAAAGATAAGGAGTATCCAAGTCCCGAGGACTATCCCGAAAATAGTCACCTCCGGGAAACATACCTGGAATATCACTGCAAAACAGCAGCACAGGCAGATCTGATTAGCAGAAAACTGCTCAGGGCAGGAGCTTAAGGATGCCTCCAAGCACGGGGAATTTGCCAGGGTCCACACAAGCTACAAGTTACCTTTGTTATAGAGTTTGAGTCTTTGCTGTACAGATGTAATGGCTCCCAGGACTGAAAGGCGGTTCACTCGGGACTTGATGTTGGAGGCGGTGCCGAACTCATCCGCTAGCATTTTTGCGACTCGGGAAATCTGGTCTTTGGGGGGAATGATCAATGATATCATGCTGGTACCATTGCTGGGAAACGAGAGAACGAAAAAGGGGTTGTGAGCAGCCAGCAGGCAAAGCAACAGGCGGATTCGTACAACAAGCTGCAGCAACAGCTGTCTCTCCTCCCTGCCACCCCAATGGATGCCCTCGTTGTCAACAGAATTCCCTTTCTGCCAGACACTAACGGGATGAGAAAGGGGCTCTTGGGAGGATCCCAACTGCAGAGTCAAGCATCCAGGTTAGCCCCAAGGAGCTTTCTGCCTAGTCCAAGGCACTCGGAGGCAAGGGCTGAAGCTAGGAGGCAGCCGTAATTCAACACAGCCACGTGCTTTGGGGGCATTTTTGAGCCCGTTCCATTTGTTTGCAGGCAGCTGGAACCCAGCAGCCGGCCCGAGCCTGCTTTAACGCTTTGCTCACCTCAGATGAATACAGAAAAGTGACCTGGAAGGATCCTTTGGTGGCACTTCGTCTTTTCTACTTTCCTACCAGCACTTTGCCTTACAGAAAGGCTCATGATCGCTGACAGATACTTTAAATCAACTAGCTACAAGACCTGGATTAAGTCAAGTACCAATCAAGTTAGATATTCCTTTATCGTAGAGTTCTGGGTTACGTCCAACGAAAGTCTTAATCCACAAAGAGCCTGGTGGTTCAGTGTTACGCCCTCCATCCATCTTCCCTCAGGAAACTCCCATTTGCTATAAAATTATTCAAATGTCTTCACTGCTGCCCCAAACATGACCCAAACTTCAGGCTTCACAATTAGGCACAAACGACAGGCCTCATCTTGCCCTCTGGCCTCTCAAGTGCCAACCAGCTGAGCTCTATGGAAAGGAGAAGGCTCCAGGTAGGACTTTTGGTTTAGAACACCAACAAAAAGGCGTTTTTTTTCAGCTATTAGGAAAACTGGGTTTACTTTTTTTTTTTTTTTTTCCCCCTGCATTTCTTACACTAGGACAAGCACCTGCCTGCTGCCTTCCAGTCTGTCACGCACTAACATCCCGCCTGAAGTGTTTGGGCTACAGAGACAGCAGGGAAGTGCTTTAAAAAGCATCACTTCTGTAAAGAGGCTAATGAAGTTGCAGAGCCCTCTGCAAGATCCTCAATTCAGGCCACGTCGAAATGGATGCCGGTAGGTCGAATAAGTCCCTGACCTTAAAGACAACTAATTGGTTTTAATTTCCAAGATCCCCCTCCCAATGCTAACCAGGAAAGTGGCAAGGAGACATTTGCACACGCTGTTCCCAGGAGTGCTCCGAGCTCTCACCCACTTCCAGGCAGCAGCTGCGGTGGATACTCCAGGTGCCCCTTGGTTAAAGCCCTTGGTTACCTCGGCGAATGGCACAGACCATAGGGGAGATACAAGGGGCTGCCATTCCCACCGGGCTGCTCTGAGGAAAAAAAAAAAGCGGCTCTTGGCAAAGCAGCATCTCACGGCAGGCTGGGAAGGGGACGAGGGCTCCTCCGTCCTCCCGGAGAGGAGGGAGCTCGGCAGGTCCCACCGCCTGGAGGCTTCAGTTGTTTATCCTGTGCCCGCACCTTACCGTGCACAGGACCTTCAAGCGGGAGCAAATCCAGGTGTTGGACAACCCCTAAGCTGGAGGCACTCGGATCCACCCTCCAAACTCCACCCTGGTTGCGTATCCAGAAGCGCCTCCCATGCCCGTCACCAGGCGCGCGGGCTCCAGTGACGCCCATTAGTCACTATTTACTCAGCTATTCTGGGCGCTCGCAGATTCCTGCGGAACCCAATAAAACAGAGGATGGGCTTGGCACGAGAGCAGTGCCCACGGAGGCCCCTGGGAACTGCTGAGGCCGGGAACAGCCCCTGCCAACATGTTGCTGCTGTGCCAGGTACTATTAACCCGTCCAGCTCGATGTGCACACGGATGGCTAAGATGCTGCAGAGCCTGCAGGCGCCTTGCAGCACCCAGGCCTTGTTTCCCTACCTGGAGGGGACGTTTTCCCCTCTCAGGACAGGCCTGCACCCAAGTGCAACCTCGCTGCTCCGCACACTGGAGCGCGCGCCTGTCAGACTCACCTCATCAAGACAAACATGGTTTGTAAGAAAGCTGCAGTTTAAAAAAAACATAGCGGGGGGGAAAAAATGTATTTTGAGCATCAATACAACCTGTAGGGATCCTCTGTGCCGATGCAGCCACTGTCCCCGAACAGCAAGGGCCAGGTCTTTCCGCAAATCCCATGGATCAGCCGCACGCTACGATCTGGATGACATTTACACCAGGAATGACATACGGGAAGTCACGGGGGTTCCCAAGCTCGGGAAAGAAGTCTTTCGGCACAACAAAACCCCACCACAAACAGGCTCGGCCGTGGCAAAGCACGCGGGACACTCGCTGCCCAGCGACACTTCACCACAAAATTGTTAGCGCGCACGATTAAGTAATCAATCTAGATTAAGGGAAGCGCTCTAAGCGCTCGCAATCAAGCGGCCGATTTGCTGGTGCCTCCCTGTCCCTTTCCCGATGCTCCTCCAGCAGGGAGGGATCTGGAGCAGCTCAGGTCATAGCCGACTCAGCAGGTTTCTTATTTTAAGGAGGTGGCGATGTTAAGAGGTGCCCTCTTATTTTAACGCAGCCAAGGCAAGTTACAGACCAGCTGGAAGCTAATGCTCACAGACTAAACCGAGCCAGGAAGTTTGAAGCAGTTGGAGACAGTTGTTGTCCCTATTCTGGGCCGGGGAGTGCCTGTGTGGCAGCCAAATAGCTGCCATTGTAATGTCAGG